CCGGACGCGTACACACGCACAAGTTAGTTCCGGGGCGCGCAATATAAATGCGAATTAAAAGTTTCTATGTCTTACTTCATTCTATCTCTTCCGTCTCGTGTTTTTTTCCTTCTTTTTGTTTCGCTTTACGGTCGCCGCACCGGATATGAAATACAACAAGCGTGTATTCCGTATATATATACACACACGAGAGATAAATCCGACGAAGCCCGCGGACGCGTGTCGCCGCCGGGCAGACAAAGTGCGTGATCCGCAGCAGCGTGTTGCAGGGAGATACGATCTCATTTCGTTTATTTTTATTATTATTATTATACGTACGTAATGGACGTAATGCGAAAAGTTCCTCAGCTCGCACAACCGTGACTACGCGATTAATCTGTGAAATTAAACAGAATCGCAACCTGCAGCAGCAGCGCATAATATTATAATAATATTTTTTTGTGGGATATATTTATAAACATTTGCAAGCCATAAATATTGCGAAACTTTCCACTCTTTCGGTTTGACGCTTGTACATGTATATATTGTATAATGTTTATATATTTAAATATATACTTACGCTCGCGTAACTCGTAAGTCAAGAGTCTCCAAGCGTCCCCATGGCCATTTTATCACGGCGGCTTTTGAAAATTAAATTGTCTCGCTATACTAAACAACATTCAACATCAATGAATAAAAGAATTTGAAAAAAAAAATCAAAATATACCTCTACGTCTTATGCTTTTGGCGTCCAGACAAAACCGTACTGGTCAATGACTATCACTATATTATATAATAATTAAAAACTAATACATAAAAACACGAAACTCTAAACAATTTTAACCAGTGGAGCCTACAAGCGTAATGTCAATGTAATATACGATCGTCTAACATTATAGTAATAATATAATGTACCTATAGGTGCATCGTGCTACAAGTTGAAACCATCTAAAATGAAAAATAGTTTTTCATATTTTCCGCATACTACTATATAGTCTCTTTATATTTATGATAATTTCGACAATATTATAATACTACACATTATAATATATTATTATATATTCACGCCTTTTTATCATTAATAATTACATTTTATGCAAGCTGTATTATTATTATTTACAGTATCGCGTATTACTGTTTTGTATATTACAAGATATTATACGATACTGTTTATGGGTTTGGATTAAACTTGGATGATATTTTTTTCCCGTTAGTATTTCTTAGTCTTAAATACAAATAACACGGAAGTTTTTTTTCTCATTAATATTTACTAGATAACTAGGATACGGATTTCAATATTTTATGGTGCTATCCATTTTTATTAGTGGTGAAGTTCATAATATACATGTATACACATTACACAAGAACCTCCTGGAGATGATACATTTTATATATTTTATATCAATCTGATTATTATACTGAAATTTTATTTTGCATATAAATGCACACTTGGAGAATTAAAGAATATTTTTCAACGATAAAAACATATTCCCGGCAAATATAATATTGTATATACTCGCGTTTACTCGAAAACCCAAATTTGATTTATACGATATCCGAACGAATGCGATACCCGAGCAGAATTGCCAAGTAGCTGTCGCTTTAGATTTACACCGCTGTAGCTGAAGTTGACGGTCCAATATACCCATTGCACGTATATATATAAGCTATGCATAATAACAATATTTAGTATTTTATTTACTAACAGGCGTTCGAATATTTCCCAAAGTACCTATTGAATGTCTAAATATTGCTGTGAGATATATTTTTTGTACTTAAAAGTCATCAGTGAATTATTCAGCTCAGAAATATAATATTATGAATGTAGAAAACATTATTTTCTAATTTCTAATTTTTGTAGTAACCATTATACCTACGTGTTTTTTATTTTAATTGTTTATTTTAATTGTAGGAAATTATAGATATATTACAATCCTTAACCACATATCCAAAATCTTTGAACTAGATTATGCATGTGGGTAGTAATTGAGTAATATTCGAACAACTCACTCATATGGGCCCGCTGGAACTAAGCCCATGCACCGTCTGATAGTATAAGGTCTATGTGGATATGCCATTCCTATATCATCAAAAAAAAAAATGGGAGTGCTCCGGAATGGCTCTAAAGCAGAGGTTGCCAAAATTGTTTTGATCGCGGTGCCCTTATAAAACTAAGGTTTTCTCAGGACGCGCGCCCTTCCCAAGGTCATACCATGACTAATCATAAGAAATAGAAAAATAAATGAAAAAAAGAGAAAAAATTGTAATGGGTATAGTATGAATACATATTTATTTAAAATTAATTATAATTTATAATAATAAAAAATAATATAATAATTTAAACATTTTTATTTACAAAATCGTAATATTTTCAGTCGCCACTCGCCACAGTCGTCGGGTTTTTAAATTTGTTTTTAGAACATATAAAATTATACGCCAGTGTTGCGTCCCTCTACAGGGGCGTACCAGGGTGCCTCAGCGCACTGTGCACACTTTGGGAACTGCTGATCTAAGAAGCATTGTGAGTAAATTTCAGTCGGCCGTGACACAGAACACAGAAGAAGAACAAAATGAAGATGAGCATTTGATGATAGATATGACGTTTATCGTATTATATTATTTATTTTATTCTGATTGTAAAACATTAAATTTCGATTTTCTATCAATGATTATGTATATTTAAATTTATTTTGTTGTCTTAATAAAATAAATCAATTATAGCCATTAGGTAAATAATTTTAAAATAACCTTATATAATATACTGGCCTAGGACAGTAGTGGGCATCATAAATGTCGACATTTTAAAGTTATAAAAAATGCGTGTTATACTTTTTGCCCAAAAAATCAGGTGGGAACCCTGTAAGATATGTTTTCCTAATCCCAATCTTATGAGCTTTTCATCAATGTATTCAAATTCATTTAGTACCTACGGTTTAGCAGATATAAACATTATTATGAATCAAACTTGGGTTTAACAAAAAAACACAAACATGGGAATTATAACACTTATTATTGATAATTCGATTATGGTCACAAGGACTTTTTTTGTTACATTTGAGGTGTAGAAACACCTATAGAAGTTTTACACATTTATCGTGCAACACCCTATATTATAGTACCTACGTATTATAAATTTACCTATATGGATTGCAGAATCGGCTTTCTAGATATTAATAATAGTATTTGTGTAATTGATACTGTAGTGTGTGTGGATACGCCAGAAATTCTTATCTAATAATATTCATCTTGACATCTATAGAGTATCTGATTTGAAAATGTATTAGTGCACCAAATTTAGTAGGTATTATCTTCAAAACTTAAAACCAGATTTTATAGGTATTGCAACTTTTTATTGATATCAGGTAATTCAAATCTGATCGAATATGTGCACGAAAAGGGCTAAGTACAGTCTACCTCTTTAATTTTATATTACAATTTTTCGCAATTACCAATAATTTTGCTATTTTTGTATATATTTTCAAGTGAAAAAATATGCAATTTATTATTCCATAGGTAATTTTACAATAAAAATATAACTATGATGTAAATTTTCACATAATGGTTTTTCCTAATCATAGAGAAGCGTCAGAAGCGATCTATAGATACGTTTATACGAAGTATAAGATATATTATTGATATATCAATAATAATAGTTTATTAAAAATTTTGATATATTTTTATTACAATTATGACATAATTATTAATTTTAACATAATTAAATCTAGCCTTTACTTAATATAACTAATAATTTTCTATTTCCTTGATGTTATGAGAAGATAAGATACTTTAATCTAAAATAATATATTTATAATACCTTATTGTGCCGGGAACGACAACAATTATAGGTCGTGGGCCCTGTCACTGTTTACTTCGCGCGCTACCACACTGACAGACCTGTTTATTTGTGTGTATATATATTATGTATAGCACTTAATAGGAAGTGGACTGGGACGCCGAGCAAGTCCTGTAAGTGCTAGTATGTGGTGTATGTGTATTGTGTATGTATGTGTGTGTGTGTGTAGACTTAAAAAACTAAGAACAGATAGGCAACTCAAATAAATATAAATTATTGTAATTGATATAGAAACAACAAGATATAGTCAATAAATCACAGACACAAGGACAAGGTATAAAACTGCTGCCCTTTTGGCCCAACAGAATAAAATAATATAGGCAGCTATCTGAGCTGTAACTCGTAAGGTATACATAATAAATAATAATAATTTACAACTTACAAATTGTGGAGCGCAGACTGGCCAGCTGGTCATGTAGCTATTCACTATACAATGCTAATACAATAAATTATGAGAAATATAACAATAATTGTAAATTATATATTATTATATATGATTATAAATGAAATAAGCCTTCGAGGCGATTTATGCTAACGACAATTAATACAAATTCAGTGACGATTCGCGAACACAACAAAGGTATAATAGATATTTGGCGATTCGCGCCCACACAATATATTATTATAATAATACATTAGTGCCGATTAGCGCTCACTAAAAATTAATTGGTAAAAATACAAATATGGCGATTAGCGCCCAAAATTTACAATGAATGATATTGTAATAATATAAAAAGAACGGCGTTTTGTGCACATAAAAATTATAATTCTGCGTTAACACTACGAACGGACAGCCGGCTCGGGCTACCGTGCTAATTAATTAATCCCGTTCCAGAGAGCCGGTAGTGGCTGATAGTGCGTATGCGACGCCGTGCGTAATCTACATACATATTATATAACTCACAGCTGACACGGACTATTATACAAAAATAAAAACAATAATATAATACAAACAAAAGCAAATACTATGTTGTGTGTGTGTGTGTGGTTTAGTGGTGAATAATAATATGTCGTACTCATTCGGGCGCAAATATTCTCCCTCCGTTGAAACTATTAGGTTTCAACTACCTCTTCGTCTGAATCTATATGTCCTAGCAAGACGTACTGTGGCCACTCAAATTTCTCCGTTTTCCGTGTTACATGGTCTTCCTTTATTATGACAACATCATCAATCTTCAGTGGTCCATTTTCCTCGAACTTGCATTTGCGTTAAATATTCTGCATGGTGTTTAGCGCTTTTTACCGCGCCTTCCCATAAGCCACCAAAGTGGGGCGCAGAGGGAGGATTAAAATGCCATTCAATCCCTTCCTTGGCTAATATAGGTATACTTTGATGGATAGGAATGTTCTGGGCACCCACGAAGTTGGTCCCGTTGTCACTGCGTTCCATGAAACGTCGAAGTGCTGCTACAAAGACGATACTAGATCGATTCTCTACTACCTCTAAGTGGACAGCTCTGGCCGAGAAACACCCAAAGAGGGATACCCAGGCCTTTGTTCCGGCAATTCGACGCAGTCCACTCCCAATAATTAGTGGTCCAGCGAAGTCAATGCCTGTTACACCAAACGGTGGCTGTACTTCGACTCTTTGTAATGGCAGTTGTCCTATCAGTGGCTGTGTGAATTGCGGCTTTTCCCTTGCACATCTTTCACACTTTGATATGACTGATCGCGCCGTAATCCGTCCCTTTTTTTGGCCAGTATACACGTCTGATATCCGCCAACAGTGCCTGCGGCCCACAATGGAACAGTTCCCGATGCCTATACTGGAAAATGAGCTTTGATACCCTATGACCATTTGGCAAAACTATCTACTTCCAGCGAGCCGGTAGTGGCTGATAGCGCGTATGCGACCGTGCGTAATCTACATATATTATATAACTCACAGCTGACACGGACTATTATACAAAAATAAAAACAATAATATAATACAAACAAAAACAAATAATATGTTGTGTGCGTGTGTGTGCCGGTCAGTGGTGGAGTGGTGAATAATAATATGTCGTATACATCCGGGCGCAAACAATACGTGTATTACATATTTAAGATTTTGTTTTGTGCATCGTCGATTTGTACGCAACGTTACGTTTTACAATAGGTACATTATTATTTTTGATACTTATCAGATAAAACTATTCATAGTTTTGAAATCCATATAATTCATAACCAATGAAAATGCAAATTTATAGGTATAAGCAGGAAACATGATGTCATACTCAATAAAAACCATAATAACTACAATTCTACCATATTTAGAATTTACAATGTAATGTGACACAATAAATAGTTAGAATCAAATTGTAATGTTATTCGTTCTTTATATTATTAATGTCCATAGGTAGGAACAAAATAGGTAACACAGCTCTGTGCTCTATAAATATAACTAGTGCGTTACACTTTGTCTGACAAGTGTCAATAAAAAAAACTATACTTAAACGCATCACAATGAATTTCTTTTTAATTAATTTATTAACATTGCTATTGTTTCGATCGTCTTCGGTATCATGCATTGGATCAAGATATTTAAATATTCTTTCTGCATTACCATTAGTAAGTGATTAATTTTTAATAATGAATATGTGAGACGAAAATGGAAAACACATTGCTCGACATGTTTTGTACTTATATTTTTTGGGAGAGGTCTTGTTTTCTTCTGGAATATTATTGAGATACAAATATCAAGAAAAATTTTCTAAATCTGGTTCATTAGACTACTGTACTAGGACGTGCATTTTAGATTCTGAGTGAAACGATGAATGTATTGATTTTACAATGATGTTTGTTTTTTTATTTTAGTGTCTGTCATCACCTTTTAGGACAGTAAAAGTGCTCGGATTTTCTTCAACAATATCTTTTCTGATAGGAAATTGAATTAAGTTGGTACTTTGGGGGATCAAAAGTAAAAATTTTGCAGTAGTTTTCAAAAGTGCCGTGAAAAACAAAAGAAAAATTAAGGAAAAACGGGAATTTGTACCCAAAATCTGTTTTCGAAAAAATCGATTTTGGTTTTTGGTGCAACTCTTAAGCAAATGACATTAGGTACGTGAAATTTTGACTGAATTTTTATATTAGCATTTTCTATACACCATGACTTTTTTTAAATATTTTGTCTTATTTTGAGCTGTTTAGGAACATTTTCAGTTTCCAATTTTTTTAGTTTTTTATTCTATAAATATCAATAAAATTTTATTTTTTGGTGAAAAAAGCTTGAAAACTTTAGAGGGCTCCTAGTATATTGTTTCAAAAGCAGATGAAAAATATAAAAATATAAAAAATCCTTAGTCACAGTTTTTTTTTTATAAGCAATTAAAGTTCAAATTTTTACAAAATGTATCAAATTTAAAATTTATTAATAATTTTGTAGATAAAAATTTATAAAATGTTCAAATTTTATAGCTAATGATTGAAAATTTAAAACAAGATTCCACGTAAGTAGGTTTTAATATATATATTACTTTATTCACCTTAATATCATCAAATATACTTCGTAATATCATAGACTGACTGACCGTTTTCCCTCAGAATCGTTTTTCTTATACAATGATATTACAGTAGTCGCCGCTTATTGGACCCACTTTGGGACCCGATAATTGGAGTCGATTAACCGAATGAGTCAATAAGGCGAATGACTCGAAAAATTTTTAAAAACTTAAAAACTTAAAAATATGTATTGAAATTCAAGGTATGTATGTATAAAAATATAAATCTTGCTATACGCAATTAAAATAAAATGACCCTATTGGCTATTAACCGGTGTGTGAGTCGAATAGACGAATTTTTGCTGTGTGTTAGTATATGTGCGAATCGGGCAAGCCGTTTTGAGTCTAATAGGCGATTGAGTCAATTAACCGTGAGGCCAATAAGCGGCGACCACTGTATATCATTGAATTCAAATTCAACACTGTCCATTACAGTGACCCACTTGTAACCTACTGAACAGCAGAGCGACTTTTTTGTTGTTGTTGTTGTTGTTGTTGTTAACATGGTATTTTATCTTATTTTTAAATTATATGGTATTGATACCGATAGTTCAATGAAGAGCTGCAAATTAAGTTAGTTTTATAGCGAGTGGTTCGTCATATTAGCTGCACAAGGGTTATTCATGGTGTTCAATTTTATTGTGTGTGAGATTGGTGTATCTGATACTTGTTCTTATTTCTATAATCTTTTAATGGCTAAAGTATTTAGCTGGATAAGTAAGCCATTATTATTTATTTTATTTTGCATAATATTGGGTTTATTGGTGTAGGTTGATGTTCAATCAACCATCAAAAAGATATTTGCATCTTGGTAATGATAATATTATGTATCTATCTTTTTTTTTTAATCATACTTCATATTAAACCTACTATATTTTATTGTTTTCAATACGGTATAGATACCTACTTAATTGAATAATTTCTGTTTAGGGTCCATATAAATTGAACTTCAAACAGGTAAGGATTTGTGATCCTTCAAAATTCTATAAATTACAACATAATTTTTACCTGAGCTATAACCCAATAACTAACTCAACTGTAATCAGAGGAAACACAAGCAGTATCATTCCGTTTGAGGACACTTTGTTTGTAAGTACGCCTGGTGTAGCTTTCAATAATGACTAGATCTGTTTTAAAGAAAGTCTGAAAATTTGCCATAATTGTACTCTGACATGACCACCGGATAAAAACAACAATCATTTCATGTTCTAACATATGATCCACCCGTTTGGATGACTATGGGACTGGAATGTTTTGACTTTTGAGTGTACAAGCAACTCCTAATGTATTTTATCTGTTGCTACATGCATCACATTCACATAGTATTATGTTACTCTTTTAATATAGTAATAAATTATTAAGCTGTCCAGATTTTTCCAGATGGAAGCAAATGTTGCATCCCGAGGAGCAGACGGAAATTGGAAAGACAATACATATATGCAAAAGTCTCCAAAAGCTTGCTCGTCTTTTAGGAATTTAATGGGAGCTGAGTGGACCACGGTGATGAACGGTTTAGGAATAAAGAATGCCACATGCCCTATACCACCGGTATAATAAGACATTATAATTATACAATGACAATTTTAAAGTATAATTTCATCGAATATAACTTTATCAATATTATGCATTCAAGCATTATTTACATTAAATAAAATATTATTTCACTTGATGGATGTTATTGTTGAAAATTAATAATTATAATTTTTTTCATACAATTTTAATTTATAATAATATCATAATATAAACACTGTATATTAATCAGGGGTTTAAACTGATTAAAACCAGTTTTTCTATTAACAGGTTGTATCGGAAAATGTATATGAACAAAAGTGGAACCACAATTCGTTATTTTATAGAACGAAAACAATATATTTAACCAGAATTACTTTTCGCCTTGAATGAAAATAAAAATTGTTTAAATTAGGAATTAAAAAAATAAATAATTATAATGATAATTGTTTATATGTAGGTCACTTTGTTTCTAATATGAAAAAATGAAAGTTTGCAGCGAAGGTGGATTAATAAATCTGCCTAGTATGTAGCTTTTGATGCTAATTAAGTATGCACATAGGCCATAGGGCAATATTGTTCTATAGTATCTGAGAATTCAATAATCTAAGACCAGGCATGAGATTATACTTATATGGTTTGACAGCTCCTATCATCGATATCGATGCTTTTATCAAATACATATTTGTTAAACGTTTTTTTCATATTAATTGTGCATGTAGTTGTCACCAACTATACTTCTTATATCTTAGTAAAATCATATTATTATATATGTAGTTTCGTTTTACATTAACTTATAAATAAAAAAAATTGTTATTAGGTGTTTAAAATTATAGAACAAAGTAAATTAATATGTACCTGTATATTTTTTTTTATAGTAGTAGACACATATAAAAAAAAAAAAATTATATTAACGGTTTTATTAATTTAAAACTGGTTTAAAGTAACCGTAACATGTAGATTCTATATTAACCGGGTTTTTTTTTAATTTACACCGAAAAAAATATAAGAAGAACTAAAACCATCAACCACAAAAAATCATTTCATTATGAAGCCATGATTTTAATAAATAATTGTATTAAATATTTGTTTTATACTTTTAGGGCAATTATACTGGTACAGGCGTGGATACTTCGTTATTTTTAAACACCAATTTTCCTAAAACATTTGTTTATGGGACGTACAGACTTCGATATTCTTATACTCGTAATAATGAAGTTTGTACCTGCTTAATTTATGTATTCGAAATTACGCCACTCTAACATATATTTTATAATAGTTTATACAATAGTATACATGTTATGTATTGTTGTATCATGCATAATATATAACAAATATTAAAATAAAACCTATTAACTAAGTTTTTAAATGAATCATATGTGACCGGTAAAATTCAAAAACAAATCATACAATATTCAATAAGCTAAGTAACAGCGTAGAAACATATAGCATTCCACCAAATTAGGTTATGATAACAATATTATGTAATCAAATAACAATAAATTATTATAATGATTAGCATAGTCAATAAGAAATTGTAACTAGGCTAAACTTAATACCGATATTACCGTTAGTGTTTCGATAATAAAATGGATATATAAAATATATGTGAAGACAGAAAAGTGTTTAATAAAAGTGCTTATAATACTATTTGTTTGTTTATTCGTGTGCACCTGAAGTGATCGTCGTTTATGACAGTATTCAATGATTCACAATCCCAAGTAGTCCATTTTAAGTATTATATACATTTTCTTATCATACACATTAAAACAGATTTCCCATTAGTGGAAATAAGGTTATACCTAGGAAT